AGAGACTTTGGTCTCCAAAGGGGGAAATACTGCCAGCAGATACAATAGGGCTCTGTGCCAACCACCTGGTCACTTAGCGGGCCTCATGCCAGTGACATGAGGAGGGGAGTGACTTGGATGAGCATGAGGAGCTGGGGTCGCCACCAACAAGGGAGTAGGCAGGAGTAGATCTGGAATCCAGGGGACTCACCGCAGCGGCCATCGGTGCTTCCGGCCCAGTGATTATGGGGCACATGCACAACCACAGGCCAGCCGGGATAAGGCGACACGGGCTCAGACACTTGGGGATGAATGTCTGCATCACCCACCAGCCAAGTGACCTAGTGCAGCCACATGGCTGAGGCTGAAGGAATCTGGAATGGGTGGTGGGAGGGAGGGACGGAGAATATCAGCTCCTTGGGCCCAGCTGCCGCAGTGGAGCCAGTGCGGGGAGGGGGGGGGGCTGGGTCCACTCAGCTGAGACAGCGTTGGCTGCTGCCCTAAAAACTCCAGCTCCCCAGGCTCCACGAGGGACACAGTGAGTGGAGTGAGGGGTGCACATCTTGGCGGCTCCCTTCCTATTTTCTCGGCCCACTTTTCATGTCTGCCATCGCAGCAGCAACCGATTTCACTCAGGTGTCACCTGTCGGCACCTCCCCTCGGGGGCGCTGCAGATCTCTGTGGGTCCCTGCCCTGGTGCTGCAGTGTGAGGTGCCTGTGGGAAGCCGCTGGGCACTCCCAAACGTGTGGAAGTTCAAGGGAGTTGACACCCCACAGGGCGACCCCTGACCACTGAGGGGGTTGGGGGAGGAGACGGAGCCTAAAGTGGCTCCTTAGGAGGTCCCGGCGAGACTGGCTCCAGCTGCTCACAGCGGCGTCCATCTGGAGACCATTCCCTTGTGTGACTGTCCCTCTTTCCCTGCTGAAGTGTCCCCAGTCTCCCTGTCCTGTTCCCTTGGATCATATCCTGGGATGAACCAACTGCACAGAAACTCCTGTCTCAGGCTCTGCTTCCTGAGGGAAACCCAGGCTGTGACACTGTTATTTGTTCAATTGTGTCCCCTCAACATTGCTATGGTGAAGTCCGAATCCCCAGTACCTAGAAAAGTGACCTCATTTGGAAATAGGGTCCTTGCAGATGTAACAGTTTAGAAGAAGTCATACTGGAGCAGGGTGGGCCCTACTCCAAGATGACTGCTGTCTTGACGAAGGGGGAGATACGGAGACAGACCCACGGACAGGGAGGGCACCATGTGACAAAGGCAGAGATCAGGGACAATTAGCAGATGCCACGCAAAGCCAACAGTGTCCAGCAAACCACCAGATGCTGGGACAGGCCTGGAGCAAACCCACCCTCGCAGCCCTCACAGGGAACCATCCCTGCCGACACCCTGTTCTTGGATTTCTCGCCTCCAGAACCGTGAGACGATACATTTCTGTTGTCTAAGCTACCCAGTTTGTGGCACTTGGTTACAGCAGCCGTAGTGAATAAATAGATGTCAACCCAACGTACGCCATAAAAATCCCCAAGAAGCGCAGGAACCAGGAGCACTGGGTGCCTCTGGAACTGGGGATAAAGAGTGGAGCAGGAGGAGGGTGATGAGGGGTCTCAGAGAAGCTTTTAGATCCCCGCCCCACCCCACAAGGCTGGGCCGGTACCCCTTCCCACACCAGCGGAATTCTGACAGTTTAGTATCTAAGGAAGGTAACGCCAAGGAGCTTTAGATTGACAGACATCAGACACAGTGGAAGGCCTAGCTACCATACCAAAAACACGAGTATTAGTTGATACGATGTAGCCTGAATGCTGTGCAGAAAGAACCTCCACCACGGACACGCTGTGTGGCCTTAGGCCAGTCATGCAACCTCTCTGTGCCTTCAGTTTCCTCAGCCATAAACTAGGGAGAATAGCAGCATCTATTTCCTAGGGCTGACATGAGAATTGAAGCCCTTGCACACACGTGCCCAGTAAATGTTTACTTTGCAGAGGCCAGTGAAAGGCCCCTGGTCCCCACGGTCCTGAGCAGCCAGAAAGCCCTGAACTTTCAGTTTTCAGTCAGTGGTGGAAAAACAGGACCCCAGATAAGACATCCACAACAAAGCCCCCACCAGCTATCGGTGATGAATTTCAGGTACCCTTCTGGATAAAAACGTCCCTGGCCACCCCAGCATGATCCCCTCCCCCCAGCTCCCCTGAGCGCTGACCGTGTCATTGGGGGTGTGCCAGGAGACTTTGCGGATGCCCTTCAGCTGCCGCTCTGTGGGGTAGTAGAAGGCAACGCTCTGGAACGGGTTCTGGCTCAGGTCCCATTGCCACTGGACGACCTCCAGGGGCATGGGCAGGTCCCCTTCCTGGTTAAAGAAGACGCGGTGGCCCAGGAGGGTGAAGTTGACCTTCTTGATCTCCTGAAGTAGCTAGAGGGGGCGGAGAACAGGGAAGCGGAGCTGGCGTTAGAGGTTAGGCCAGACCGGGGAGAAATCTACCATCCTCCTTGCCTTGATTTCCACATCTGTGAAATGGGGGCAATAGGACTTTGTAAATGTGGCAGTTTGGGAAGCAGTGGCTGAGAGCTCGGGCTCTGGAGTCAGACACCTCTGGGTTTAGGCATCAGCTCTGCCACCTACGGTGGATGACCTGTCACTTAACTTCTCTGAACCTCAGGTTTTTCTTCTGCAAAATGGGAGCAACAAACACCCCATCTTCTGGTACCTGAAAAATAGTGAATGCTCACCTCCTACTGCGGTGTTGATATGATTCCTTTTCCCTGGAAGGCCCCTCACCATTCTTCTGGGACCCAGTTCCTGGGTCCAGAGTTCACCCCCTCTTTCACCTGCAAGGGTCATCGGAGATCTCCCCTGCCTCCTGGGCCCTGCCTACTTCCCCACACTTTAGAGTCAACTCTCTTTCTAGTCTCTCCCCACTCCCCGCCCCACTCCATCCCCATCACTCTCAGGACCAGACACTGCGACAAATGAGAACATTCTTGGGACCTGGAATCCTTTGGCCTGAATTCCATCTTAGCTCCGTCCTCAACTTGCTGTGTGAGTTTGAGCAAGTCACTGAATCTCTCTGGGCTGACCCCAAAAGGGCTTCTAGCTTAGATATCCTATTTGTCTGGCTCCTAGGTTTTCCCTCCATAAATGTGAGGGTCTATTGGGCTACATCTTGGAGGCCCAGAGCTCACCTCCCCTCTGGGACTGACAGACAGACAGATAGCCAAGGGAGTTGGTCCCCAGCTCTCTCCCTGCCCTGCCTGGGAGGGAGGTCCTGGCTCTGGAAGCCTCTGGAATTTGCACAGGTTGCTGGGCCTGAGGGCAGTGGTCTTGGGAGCTGAGAGGAGGGCAGCTCCAATCTGACGCAGACCTGAGGTTGGGGATCAGGATGACAGAGGCTCCTAGGGAGCCTGGTGCTGGTGTCCATGTCACACCCCTGCAGTGACCTGACAAGCTAGACTGAGTAACCTGGGATTCCAGAGGTCCAAGCTATGGGGTCAGAAAGCATTTTCCCTGCCAGTCTCCTAAGTGGGTGGGGCCTAAACTATTATTGGCAGGAGCCTGGGCATCTGGGGCTCCTCCCTTAGCCCCACCCCCACCCCCAGCAGTGGTTCTGCCCCAAGCCCCACCCTCTCTTCTAAGGCCAGACATTGGTGTCAGAAATGAATAAGGAGGCGGACACTCAGATTCTACTCTGCACCAGGTAATGTGCATACATTATTGTTAATCCTTGCAATAACCCCACAGTGTACATATTATTCTTTCTATTTAACAGGTGAGGAAACAGAGGCGCGGTTTCCCTGTCTATAGATTATCAACCTCATAGGATGGCCATGAACTAGGCACTCAGTGCCTAGGAGGTGCTCAAAAAACAGTAAAGCACCAATAATAATTATATATATTACTAATGTAACAGGACATATGTATATTAAAAGAGTATTTTACCAGCTGGCACCAGAATTCCTTCTATAGAATAACTGCATTAAAAAAAAAACAACAACAAAACCACTTAGGGTTGCAGGTTTAGGCTCTGAGATCACGGGGTAGACAGGTACAAATAAAGAGAATAAGAGAGAGGGGGGCATTTTAAAAGCGCTAACTAAATTGCTCTGTTAAGGACGTGACCAGATAGTTGGGGGTGGGGGACTAGGAAAAAGGAGGAAGAGGGACAGAGACAAACGTCGAGGGACTAGCTGAGCCTCAAAATGATGAAAAGCCAAGCAACGGTTTCAGCACAGAAGCGTCTGACAGCAAAGAATCAAGTGCACGCCTCCGCTGTGAATTCCTCTCTGCTCCTCTGGTCCTGGGTGAAACCTCCTCCCACCCCGAGGGCTGCATGGTAGAGGTGTGTGTGTGCTTCAGAACACACAGATTTAAATTCCAGGTCTGAACTGAGGTGACACACACAGAACTGGGACAATGATCCCTAAGCCTGAAACAGGGCCCCGGAGTCCACAAGCCCATTTTCCCAGGCCCCGGACCTTGGAGAGACTGCAGGGGGCACTGGGGCTTCCACTGAGGGAATTTCTTCTGAACCTCCAAGGACCGACTCTCTTGGGTGGCAGGGATTACATTAACGAAAAAGAGCATTTGTTTTGGCGCCGCGAAGGGCTCCTGGCTCTACGTGTCTGGAGGCAGGGCATGTCCCATGGCCTCTCCCACCAATTGGCCCAGAACCCACCAAGGGATGGGGAGGCTAGAGCAGAGCAGATGCGGGGATGAGGGGTGCGGCCTGTGGTCTCCACGGCACCACAGACGCTGCACCTGCGCCCTGGAACCCTGGCTTTCCTCACCCGCCAGGGATAGACCACTCTCTTGCGGCAGTTGGTCTGGCTGCAGCCCAGGAGGCTGTGCAATGCGTGCGCCACCGCATAGACAGCCGAATACACGTTGTAGACCACGCGCTCGCCGGAGAGCGTGAGGATGGTGTTGAAGGACGCGGTGGTGTGTGCGCAGGTGTCACACTCCTGGTTGCAGGTGGCCTCCAGGCTGGTTCTGTTGGACGCAGGTGGCCTGGCCTGGGTGCGGCGCATGCGGAACTCGCTGAAGCCCGGGATGGGCACGCTCTGGGTGGTGATACCCAGGAAGGTGCCCGTGTGGCGCAGCTCGGTGAGGTTGTACAGGACCGGGTTGATGGCCCAGGACTCGGAGGCGATCCACACGACGCCGGTGAAGTTCCGGCGCAGCACCTCCTGGAAGAAGTTGGACAGGACCAGGTCTGGCGAGAACACAACCACGACCCGGGCTGAGCTCTGCTGCAGCTTGTCCACGATGGCCTCCAGGCGCTTGCGCTCCTGAGGCGTCACCACTTGGCTGGGCTGCGGCGTGGGCAGCGCCTCTTGGAAAGCGATGCAGATGTCGTTGCTGGCCAGGCGCTGTCTGAGCAGCTGGCTGTTTTCACGGCCGTAGTCGTCGCTGCTTATCAACACGATGATCCAGTTCCAGCGGAAGTGCAGCATTAGCTGCACCATGGCCTCGATCTGGTGGTCGGCACCTGGCACTGTGCGCAGCACCGCTGGGAAGAGCAGCTTGTCGCGCAGCTCGTCGCTGATGGCGCTGTAGGTGATCTGCCGGAGGGGAGGGGCCGCCAGCATTGAGACCCACCTAACCACCCTGTTTAAAACTGCAATCCCCTCTACCCACTCTGTCTGTTGATGACATGCCCCATCTCCCTTACCCTGCTCGACTTTTTCTTTTACCCGTTGCACTTCTGACTTTCTAACATCCTAAACCACCTATTTATTTACCTTTATTGTCTGTCTCTCCCCACTAGAAGATAAGCTTCCATGAGGGCAGTGATTTCTGTTTCTTTTGTTCCCAGCTGAACCCTCAGCGTCTACAACAGTACCTGGCATATAGTAGGTGCTCAATAAATATTTGGTAAATGAATGAAAGAATGAGATCAGTCCTGGACTGGATGTTTCGCATAAGAATATGAACATTTACTGAGCACCTACTATGTCAGATCCTGTGCTAAATGCTTTACATAATAAAAATAACAGCAAAAATTACAGAATTTGTAACTACCTACTGTGTGCCAAGTCCAATGCTAGCTACTCTTTAGTGAATAGATATTTTATGCCAGTTCTGGACTAGGCACTTTCAATCATGATGATGATAATAGTGATAACAACAGTAATAATACTAATAGCACTTTTTTGAGGAACTGCTATGTGGCAGGCCCTATGCTAGGTAACTATACAGCATAATACTGAGCACTTTCTGAGTTTTCATTATTGTGCAAGATGCTTTACATAACAACAACATTATTGACTATTACTGTGTGCTAGAAACTTGCATAGGTTTAATGCTTTAATCTTCAGACAGTCCTGGGATAGAACTCTTATCATCTTACTTTACAGCTGGGGAAACTGAAGCTCAGAAGAGTTAAGAGATTTGCTCAAGGCCTCACAATGGCCAAGACTCAGAGCCAAGATGCACACCCAAGTCTGTCTGCCCTCAAAGCCTGAGCTCTCAATCAACAGGCCAGGTTGCCTTCCCTGTATTGGGGTGGCATCCTGCCCCTGCTTCTGCTCCTACCTCAACCCCTCTCCCCTCCCCCCACCCCCAGCCCATTACTGGTGGGGGGAAGTGAGCCCTCTAACCCAGGGGTCGGCAAACTGCGGCTCATGAGCCACATGAGGCTCTCTGGGTACGTACATGTGGCTCTGAAGTAAAATTGAAAATGAAAATAAACTATCATAGTTTCCTTTATAAAATTTTTAAAGGATATTATTCATATCATGGTGATTTCATTTGTTTTATGGCTCTCGAATAATTTTTAAATTGTTGTGAGGGACAGGACTGGCTCTTCCCTCTCAAAAGTTCGCCAACCCCTACTCTAGACAATCACACCTCTGCCCGCCTCCCTATGCCTCTTCTCCAGGGCCCAGGGGCCTCACCTGTGGCAGGAGAAAGAGGGAGAGGAAGTGGGCCACAGTCATGGTGGACTCAGAGTTATCAGGGCCAATGATGGCCACCACACGGGGCACATAGTGGCTGTAGTCTTCCTGGATGGGCAGGAAATAGTCCTTCTGTGATAGGAAGTAGAGCACAGGCTGGACGTTGTTGGAGATGTAGCAGACGTCTACCATCTCATAGCCCAGCCGCACGCCGGGCAGCAGGCTGCTGTGGTTGTTGATCTCCTCCACCGCAAAGCGCATGGCCTGCAGGATGTTGTAGCCCAGCACCTTGGTTTCATACCTGGAAGGGCCACAATGGGGTGAGGTGGGAAGCAGGTCCAGAATGAGGAGGGGTGGGGCGCACGAGCCAGCCTGTCCCCCCTACCTGCCACAGGAAAGCCAAAGCATTGCCCAAGAAGGGGCCACTCTAGAAGATTCTGGCATTTTTACCACATCATCGTCACTGTAACCCAGCTCTAGGAGCGCCATCGTCCCTATGACTACCTCTGACACTATGATCTCTGTGACCATCATGAATCACTACCACCATCCCTGTGGATTCGGTCACCACTCTACCCATGTACGCCAACGTGACTACCATTACCCACGATAACCTCCATCATCACTATCACCCGTGTCACAATCATAATCTACTATTCCTATTACCATTATCATTGCCACTGTCATCACTGTCGCCACATATCTGTGACCACCATTACCAATACCACCACCACCATCACCACCATCACCACCATCACCACCACCACCACCACCATCACCACCATCACCACCACCACCACCATCACTACTGCCATCGGCACCAACACCGGCATCACCACACTCTTCACCATTTTTATTATCACCAGCATTACTGCCATCACCATTATTAACATCACCACCATCACCACCATCATTTCCATCATCACCATCACTTCATTGGACTCCCTGCCATTGTCACAGGTGTCAAAACATCTAATATCATGCTTAGTATCATCACGGGTGCCATCACCCTCACCCTTCTCAAGCCAGCATGTAATCATCCCCTACATCATATAAATGGTACGTTTCTTACAGTCAGCCCCTATTCATCTTCTGCTCACTCCTTCCTCTCTCCCTCTTCCCAGAATGCCTTTACCTTCTCTGCATGAGGTCACCATGTTATACTCTCAGGCTGACTCCAGTACCTGGCCTTCATCCTTTCATGAAGATGGCCCACCCAACCTCTGAGTGATGCTGCCACCTAAGGGGCTCACAGGGTGGGGTGGGGTGGGGGAGAGAAAATCCCCTCCAGTCTTGGAAGCACCCCTTCCCACCCCACTACAGCACAGGGAAAACGCAAACCTTCCCCTCCAGTCTGAGAACCTGCTACAGAAGAATCACATTGTGCCTCCCAAACGCATGCCACCTGGTTTCTAGGCTGGGCCTGGGCATGGACTCATTGGGAGCCCCCCAGTTGCCAGAGGGAGTGTGGGTAGTTCTGATGGCCTCTGAGACATAGTCTCTAAGACATGGTCTTACAGTCTCAAACATCTTGTAACTCTTTATAGTAAGAGACATGCATGACCCTGGGACAACCCAGGTCTCAGCGTTGGAGAACACAATCACCAAAGATGTTGGTAACATAGACTATGTGGGGTTTCCCTGGGGCCAGTGCAGTGGGTCCAGGGTGGGGGTTTGCCAGCGAATGAGGAGGAGCACTCTGAGCTCCGGGTCACAGCCTGGCCTCCCAAGGACCATGGGAACAACCCTGGCTCCCACCCACCCAGTCCCGCTGCCCCTGCCAGCCTCCCATTGGAGACTCACTCCTTACACTTGGGCACCTGCAGGAAGTTGAGGTGAACAATGCCCTTTACGTTGGCGTGGAGGGTGAAGAGGCCACCCAGGAGGTAATCCCCAGCCAGGTGGAAGTCTGGGTTCTCAGCCGGCTCAGCCAGGACCTGCAGCAGGAAAAGCAGAGAAAAGACCGCCCTGGCCTGGGGTCCCATGGCTAGTAAGTGGAGGGTCCCAGGAGGTGGCTGTGCCTCACCAGAGTGCTGGCTGCTTGACATCAGGGCATTTGCACAGACATTTACATAGTGACGGTCCTGCCACTCTCCATGGGGCGGAGAAAGAACCTGGGACAGGTGGGGAGATTTGAGGGCTCTGGGGGAAGGGGAGGAGGCTGGAATGAGGCTGACCCCTTCTTAGGGCACGCTGGAGCCCGGGCGGTCTAGAAGGACCCCATTGGGAGGTGTAGAGAGAGCACATCCTGGTAACTTGGCCCTAGCTTTTTGCCTCATGGTTGAGGACAGGTTGCATCCTCCCCGACATTTCAAACATTTGGGAGTAAAGGACATAGGTGCTCACGTCAGCAGACAGGGTAGGGTGGCAGACGGAGCCCAAGCTTTAGAGCCTGACCAAGTTAGCCTGGCATGTGGTAATTGTGAGGGCATCTGGCCCACAGGGCAGCAGCCGTTGTCAGCAAGAAACAGGCACCATGCTGGGCGCTTGTCATTCTCCACCTTGCTTATTGCTCATGGTAACTGGGACTATTACTAATCCCGCTAGTAACAGATGAGGAAACTGAAGCAGAGAGAAGTTAAGAAACTCACCTGGGTTGCACAGCCCACAGAGCTGGGTTTCTCATCACACAGCCAGACTCTAGGGCATGGCTCTTCGTTTCCACGCTATAGTAATCGCAAGGCTATTGCTTTTGATAAAAGCAGCGAAGCAGCAGCAAAGAGAATGGGAGGTGGGGGTGGGGGAGGGGCGTCCCCCTCTCTCTGACAGCTGCCACCATCAGCCCAACAACCCATCGCTCAGTTCTGCAGACGGAGCCGCCTTTGTGTGGCCCTCCTTAGACCAGCGCTGAGGGGCAGGGGTCCTGGCAAAAAGGAACCTTGAAGAAGCCAACTGTAATTGAAAAGTAAAAATTAAAAAACAAAAAGGAACGTTGAAGAGCCCTAAAGTCAAAGGTGACTATCCCAAGGAGTCGGATGGAGGGTGGCCATGTAACGCTGGTTGGCTCCCTTCCAGCCCCAACAATGTATGGCCTCGCAGGGGCCTAAGGGCACCCACTATATAATGCGCAGCTCAGCCAGGTCTGTCAGCTGCTCTTGGGTTGTGGGGGGAAGAGGCCCCGAGGTACAGAAAGGAAACCCAATGCTCTCTTTCAAGGGCCAGTTGGAGCCTGGCCTCCCCCAAGAAACCATCCCTGGCCCCAGTTCACAAGGACAGCCCCTGCTCTGAGCTGCAATGATCTTCCCATCTGTATAGTCCCCTGGGCACCCACTAACAGCCTTAGATTGTTGACAGGTTCCTGCTGAGGCATGTGTCTACACTCCAGGAATCTTGAGGCAGCATGACTCCAGGGGACCTGGATTGGGCATCAGCTCTGTTTGCTGTGTGAGCACGAGCAGCTTACTTAACCTCTCTGAGCCCGTTTCCTTCCCTGCTGATATAGAAATAATTCCAGCCTCATGGGATCCGTGTGGGGATTAAATAAAATGAGAGAACTGCAGGGTACAGAGCAGACCCTGGAGAAAGGTGAATTTGCCAGTTTGAGATGGTCCCTTCTTGTAATGAAATGAACTGCCTCAGGGGTGAGGGGCGGAGGGAGGGACACCACAGGCTCTATGCCCAACTGAAAGAGCCCAAGCATGCTGGGTGTCTTTAGCAGCTCCAGAGGGGAGCATCCCCTCCGTCTCCCAGGACCTATCCTGGGGCAGAGTCATTCCACATCTAGAATGATAGGGAATACACAGGATTTCCTGTGTGATCTTCAGCCTGTCTCTGCCCCTCTTTGGGCCAAGGTAAACCAGTGGGGGGAGAGGGAGACCCAATCCATAAAACAAAAGGAAGAGCCCCGCATTGGACGTTTGGAGGTGTGGGTTCTGGGCCTGACTCTCCCCTCTCCCGGCCTCAGTTTCCTCATCTGTACAATGGGAAGTCCTCTTCGGACTGCCCCCTATTCACCCTCGTGTCACTTAGTCAAAAGCCCCAGTTAATTCACCCTCTGTCCTACGAGTTCTCTCCAGAGCCTGCCTTTTGCCACACCCCAAGCTCAGACCCTCCTCACCTCCTATCTGGACCGCTCTGCCCACCTCACGCTGACAGTTTAAATTCCTGCCGCTCAGCTCTGAGTCTCTCACCCCTCTGCTCTGATACCTCCCGGGACTGACTCCCCATCGCCTGCAGGATCATGGTTGAGCTCCTGGCCTTGGAATTCGAGTCCTCCCCAGCCTGACCCCAGCTCACCCATCCTCCCTGCCCCTGACTTTCCAGCCGGGAAGGCCCTCGCCTGTGTCCTGTGCCCCAAACTACAACCACACTGGCTTCCTTGGAGCTGGGTCCTTGGATGGCATTCTAGGAGCCTCTGAGACCACAGTCACCTGTCCTGCTAGACACTTAGGGAGTTGTGAGGCTAATTACAAAATAGTCCCTTTTCCAGGGCATGTTATATGCCAGGCACTGTGCATCATATCATTTAATTCTCACAATTACTCTGCAAAGCGGCCATTTTTACTCCCATTTTCAAGAAAAGGAAACTGAAGTTGAGAGGCTAAGCAATGTGCCAAAAGTCACACATCTAATAGGTGGCGATGCTGGAATTGAGACACAGGCTGCCCAAGCTCTTACCCACCATGCTACCTAACTTTGATATGTTCTGCCTACAGGAATTGTCATCGCTATGCCCTCCATCTGGGTGGGGGATGGCACTGCCCTCCCCAGTGCAGGGTGCTGGGGAAGGAGCAGTTCCACAAAACGACGTACATGTCAGTTCTGGAGAAGGAGAATAAAGATGCTGGTTGCTGAGAGGGCCCCGGATGTTTGGGGGACTCCCAGCACCCAGGTTTTTAGCAAAGCTTGGGGGTTAGGAGATGGCATAGATAGAGAGCATCTCAATTAACCTGAGCCCCCTGGGTGTGTCTCCAGCCCTAGGGTGCAGGGGGGCTGGAGAACAACAGAGTGGCTGAGAAAGCCATTAACCCAGTGGGCACTGGCTGAGCCCATTATGGGGCAAAGCTGGGTGTGATACAAGGGACACAGCCAGGGACACACAAGGGATATGTCTTACAGTCAAGACAGAAATCGGGGCCCTCGTGTGGGCAGCACATGGTGGAAGATGCCAGGGGCACCAGAGCCGCCCACAATGTGGCTATCATGGCAGAGCTGAGGGGGCCTGTAGAAATCCACAAACCTACCCATTTTACAGACAGGGAAACTGAGGCCTGGAGAAGGGCACTCGCCCAAGGACCCGAAAAGCAGGTTGATTTCCCCTTGATTCCACTCAAGTCTAAAGTGTGTCAGGACAGCTCTGTGATGTCCCATGCCATGCCAGCCCCGAGATGGGGTAAGGAAGAGGGAGGGCAATGGCCAGCCAAGAGCAATGTGGGGGAGGCAGAATCTGTGCCAAAAAGCACAGGCGGGGGATGATGACAACAAGCACAGGTTATTTCTATTGTTAACGTGTTTTGAGGGTTCACTGCATGCCAATCACTGTGCTGAACACTTGCCCTGCTCTGTCTCCCCACTTTAATCTCACCAACTTTTGAGGTGCTATTTCTCTGTTTTGCAGATGAGGAGGCTAAGACTCAGAGAGGGACAGTAATTTATTCAAAGCCACACAGCAGGTATGTGGATTGAAGGAATCCAAGATTCTCATGGGGGCTGATGGCAGTGGTGGCGGTCGAGGGGCTCTGATGAGGAAGAATGCTGTCCCCCTTAGAGAGAACTTCTTAGGGTGGGCTGTCAGCATGGACAACCTCTCTGAGGACCAAAATCTAAAGAAGGAGCACTGGACGGAGAGTTGTAAGTCTTGGCTTCTGGTCCAGCTTTGCCCCAACCTGAAGGCTGCCCTTGGGCAGATTGCTTCTATTCTCTGGCCTCAGTCTCCCCATCTGTAAAATGGATCAGTGCTTCTGAACATTTCAGGGGCAAGGATCCTTTTCTGATGAAAGCCCTGGACACTAATGCAACATCCACAAATGCAGCTGAGCATCCAAGCCCAGGGTGCCACCAGGCTTGGTCTACGAGGCTCATCCGCAGACCCTGGGCTGAGATGCCCCGGGCTGGGTGATCTCCACGGTCCCCTCTGGCTTTGACATCATCTAAGAGGGACGACTGGATGCCGCTGGGGCACCGACCACCTTGAGGACAAATGCCCAAGAACACTGTGTCACTGATTCTCCTTCAGGACTGCACTGATAGCACAGGCCCTGGGGTGGTCCAGGCCGGACCCCACTGTCACCCTCATGGCCCAGTCCAGGGCCTGAGGTCCCCATGCTCATACCTGTGTGACTGCTGGTTGCCAAGGCGACAGAGAGCCATGACAAGCTTATGCAAAGTACAAGGGGTGAGGGCAGCCGTGAAAATGGGGGCCCAGGAAACGCTGCCCATTTGCCTTTCATCTGCTCCTGAGGGAGCTCCCGAAAGGAGCTGGCTGGAGGGGGCTGCCCTGAACTTCCTTCCTCCCCACTCTCCCCTCTTTTTCCTACCAGTACTCCCTCCTCCAGGATAAAATTGGACGGCTGGAAACCCAGCTCCAATCTGGCGTGGGGTGGGGCTGGGGTGGGCAAACAGGGCCTCCCAAGGAAGGTCTGGGAGATGGGCCCCCGAGCCAGCCGGCTTGGTTCAGAGCCAGCTCTCAGAGGGTCCAGCCTCATCAGTCACCCCTGTGAGAGGTCAGCAGTCAAACGGGGAGAAGCCCCTGGATACTGGGGACCTAGGGGTCAGCTAAGGCCTAAGGGAGAAACTGTTGTGGCCGGGACACCCACTTGAGCCGAGATCTACTTAAGCGTCCTCGCCAAACTTGGCTCGATGGCCTCAAACAGGCTGTATCTCGACCAGAAAAGGATCTAGAGCAGCAGTTCTCAACCTTCCTAATGCTGCGACCCCTTAATACAGTTCCTCATGTTGTGGTGACCCCCAACCATAAAATGATTTTCGTTGCTACTCTATAACTGTCATTTTGCTATTGTTATGAATCGTCATGTAAATATCTTTTTGTTTTCCGATGGTCTTAGGTGACCCCTGTGAAAGGGTCGTTCGACCCCCAAAGGGGTTGCGACCCACAGGTTGAGAACCGCTGATCTAGAGGTTCCAAACGACCACAAGCTCAATAAGAGCCCAAAGGGTGATAGTCACTAAAGCCTGAGGAAAGGGGGGCAGCCTTTATGCAGCCTCTGCAGTGCTCTCGGACATCATTGCATCGGCTCAGCACAGTTCTGTGAAGGATTCGTATCCTCGTTGTACAGATGAGGACACCTAGGCTCGGGAGCCTAAAGGATTTCTATGGAGGGACTAATGGAGGTCAGAGGTGGGATGACTAGCCCAAGGTCACCCAGCTGGTTACCAGGAGAGTGGGGTTTGAACCCTGGTCTATGGGTTTCACGGCTCACGCTCCTCACCACCTGCTCCATCAGGTCCCTGACTTCCAGCTGCTCCTCTACCACTGTCATTTTCCCTGCCTTCCCCTAACCTGGCACTTTTGCCTCCATTTAACTAGGGCAGATGCTGGCTCAAAGCCATTGCTCACCCTCCTGAGGGCCCAGTGCCCGCCCAGGTGCCCAAGGCCTCTTTGCATGGTCAACACAGTAGGTCACCGTGTCCGCGGTGGGCCAAGGAGCCTCTTCATTTCCCTGCTGTGGCCGGGGGCCCAGCCGCAGGTCCGGGCTTGGAGCATGAACCATTTGACTGAGGCCGGATGTCCCTGCCACGACCGTCCCTCAGGTTGCCAATCAGGTGTGTGCTCTAAGGAAATGAGGGGCCACCTGTGCTAGCTCCTGGCTGCCAGGCTAAGTCGGAGCTCCCGGGGGTCCAGGGGAAACATCAGGGTGCAGACCCACCCTCTTTGTGAAGTCACGCCATTTTCATTAAGTCACCCACCATGCATTCATCTTCACAATTCCTGTATGTTCTCTGTTGGAGGCCAGTGTAGTGAATAGAAAGAGCCATGAGTACTAGAAAGCAGGCTGTGTGCCAGGCATTGTGCTCAGTGCTTTAGATGTCACACCCTTGGATGCTCACTGTAGCCCGAAGGTGCATTCTGTCACTCCATTTTAAGATGAGGAGACTAAGGCTGGTTGAAATAACTAGTATACCTGGTTAAGGTCAATGTTAAGGCTATATGAGACCACATAGGAGAAGCACTTAGCCAGTAATCAGCCAACTCTGCTGCTGTCTCAGTGTGACCTTGAGCAAGTCACTTCATTTGCTCAAAAACGTTAACAGGGCTTATGTGTCCCCAGACTATAAAAATGCAGTCGCCACTCTCCCCTTCCGTAAGCTCCAGCCTCAACACTGCGTGCTGCCCTTTCTCCCCGAGTCAAGACCGCTCTTACACAAATCAGTGGCAGCCCCTGGGTGAGCAGGGTGGGGGACTTTGCCAAGGGTAGAGTCTCCATTTCCCTCCCACAGCCCTGAGGTCCTCTACACCAAAAGCCCCATCGATGGACCCTGGGCAGGGGGTGTGGATGTGGCTGAGGAGCAGCTCCTTTACGTGACCTGTGGGCGGGGACACACGTGTTCCCCCTCCAAGCCAGCTGGCCCAGGTGAGTCGGACCCACAGATTATGGGCTCAAGCTAACTGGCCATGGTTGCCCTCTTCCACGTCACTGGCTAGCTGAGCGGGTCTTTCCAAGGCAGTCAGTGCCATGTGTGAACATTTGGGTGGAGGAAAGTGACCTGGGTTTTGGAATCAGACAGACCTCGGTTTATGTCCCATTGATAACATCCCCTTGGCAAAGTCCCTTCACCTCTCTGTACCCCAGCTTTGTTGGCAAAATGGGGGCATGGCAGGACTTACTTCGTAAGGCTGTCGTGGGTGGGAAAACATATGCAAAGTCCTTGGCACATGTATTCTCAGGGTTCTCCAATAGGATGCACACACAGACAGACAGACAGAGAGGTTTATTGTAAGGAATTGGCTCACACGATCGGGGGGCTTGGTAAGTCCAAATTCTGCCAGGTGGCTGGTAGGCTGGAGACCCAGGAAGAGCTGTGGCTGAGTCCAAAGGCAGTCTGCAGGCAGAATTCCTTCTTGCTCGGAGGAGGTCAGTTCTTGTTCTGCTAAGGCCTTGGACTGATTGGACGAGGCCCACCCACATTAAGGAGGGCAATCTGCTTTACTAAAAGTCCACTGATTGAAACGTTTATCTCATCCCAAAACACCTTCATGGAAACATCCAGAATAATGTTTAACTAAATCCCTGGGCACTATGGCTCAGCTAAGTTGACAAATAAACTATCATGGCACGTAATAGTGGTTGTTACAATAGTTGAATGGGTAGCATTTTTTTTTAATCATTTATTCAGTGTCTGGCACTGTTCTAAGCACTTACATGCATTAACTCATTTAATTCTCATGACAACCTGCGTGTGCATGTGTGTGCGCGTGTGTGTCTGTGAGTGTGTACTATTATTATTCCCATCTTACAGAAGAAGAGACAGAAGGTCAGAGAGGTTGCACAACTTTTTGGAGCTGGGATTTGAAGCTAGCCCATCTGGCTGCAGAGTTCCCACCACCTGGAGCAGTGCCCACCCTTCCTTCCATCACACGGAGGGTACTGTGCTCCTGATACTTAAGGACACATTGGCAATGCCATCAGACTTAGAAGCTGACCAGCCCCGCCCCAACCAGAAAGAGCACCCATTTGATTAAGTAACAGGCATTTTATTGGGTGACATCAGGGCAAATCCCACTGCCACCTCACAGTGTAGAGCCAGTAGAACCAGGAACACCCCCCCACCCCTGACCACCTGACCTGGCCCCTATGGGAAACAACACAGAACCTGGAAGGAAGCAGAGGCCATGCCCTGCCCAGGTGGCATCGGCACCCACCCGACCGAGGGCCACGGTGTGGGAACATGGCACTTGGGGAATGGCCGCACCAACCCTGTGGGGGCCCCATGCCAGCCGTCCTTGAGGAGGGCCCAGCACTTTTAGGACCCCTAAAAACTGTCCTCTAAAGTCACCCTTTATAGGTCCCTGCCACCCAGAATCCAACCTATTTGCCGGTGTCCACTGATTAGCTGTGTCAGACAAAGAGCAGGCCACTAAGGGCCAGTCCTCACAGGGCCACTAACATGCAAAGGAGGGGAGATTCTATGGGCAATCTTTGGCCTTGGCTGGACGGGGACCCGAGGGTAGGTCTTGGGGGGGAGGGGATGGGACAAGGTGGGAGCATTATCTACCTGGGTCTGTTTTACCATGGCCAGTGGGAACTGGGCTCCTGCAGGAAAAGCCCAGGCCCACGTAGGCGCTGAGAGTGCCCGTCTCTGAGGGCAGGACGGGGTTGCTAAGGGAAAGGTGAAACAGCGTGAAGATCCATCCGGGGATTTCCAAGATCACAGCCCGACAGGAAGGGACCAGCACCTCCCACACCTCGGCAGGTGGCCTCCAGCGGGCCCCCAGCCCAACCGCGTGGAGATGGCCAGGAACCACAAGGGTACACAGGCGCCCTGGATAAAGGCACATGGGTATCTAAGGCTTAAGGTCGGGTACAGGCACCCACTGGCTCAGGTGGGTCTGGGCAAAGCTAGTGTGGCAGGTGGGCCGCCCAGACCAAAGAGGCCACGGCCAGCTGGTGCCCCTGCACCCTGCAGGCATGACTCACCAGCCTGTGGGCCACCCTGGTCACACCTCATCTTGGAGACCTGGAGAAACCAGAGCCAAGGCCAGGAGCCTCTGTGGGTGCTGATGTTTGCCAAGGGGCCCAGAGCTGCCTCCTTTCCCCCAGGGGATGGGGAACTGCCCCACTGCCATCCCCCAGGTCCCTGAACCATTGGGTCACAGTACAGAAGAAAGAAAAGGACAAAAAACCAGCCGGCACCAGGTCACACCTACAAGATGGAAATTCTAGGACGGCCGATGGGATGGGGGCAGTGGCCCTGTCCCTCCCCAGCGTGATCTCAAACCAGAGCTGGGACACCTGACCCCGAGGGGTGGGAGAGACCAGGATACGGGCCACTGGGGTTCAGGGGACCAGGCCTCGGCTCTAGAAAGGGGGCTGTCCCACAAGGAGTGGGGTGGAGAGCCTGGGGTGGGCCCGGTACAGTGAGGTCAGTTCCTGGCTGGACAGACAGGTGGATAGCGGAGGTGCCGAGTGGGGCTCACTGCATGTATGAATACCGCCAATCCCCCAGAGGCTTGTGGGTCTCCTTGATGACCTGGGGCGACGTCCACCGCAGGATGTAGTGGGGCCCCCCTGGCTTGTCATTGGTTCCTATGGAAAAAAAACAGCTCTGTTTTTCTCTGAAAAGATACAACATCTCTGGGCAAAAAGGAAAAAGGGTGGGAGGAGTTGACAGAATAAATGGGACACCAGCATGGGCAGCAAACAGCTGAACTAAAACCAAATGAGTTCATGGCGGCCACGGTCTCATAAGCGCATCTGTGCAAAGCGCATTCAGCTAGAGGTCGGGCGAGGCAGGAACTGTGAGCGGGCAGGACGCCAGCACTCCCCGGGGTCTGTGTGTCCCACCTGCAAGGGGTGTCTTGGAGGCAGGGGAGCACTGTGGAGAGAGCCCTGGGCTGGGGGTTGGGAGCCCTGGGTTCCAGCCCTGGCTCTGCCACTAGGCAGGTGGGATTTTGGCAAGTCACCACCCCAATATGAGCCTCAGTTTCCTCATTTGTAAACAGGAGGCAGCTGGACTGAAGTGACCTGGAACATGGTGGTCCAAGGTGTGGGTGCTGGAACCAAAAGCCAGCTCCACCACGTGTTAGCCACGTGCCCTTGAGTGAGTCACGTCACCTCCCTGAGCCTCAGGTCCCTCCTTTGTAAAATGGGCGCAGGATTGAGGACCTGGGCTCAGGAGATGGTGCTGTTCCTATCACTCTTAACACCCTTGAGACGAAGGGTCTCGCGTCTCCCGCCAGGAACTCGGCTCCCCTCTGGTAAAGGGGACCCACTCACCAGAGGCTCGGGCACCCCCGAAGGGCTGCTGGCCGACCACCGAGCCAGTGGACTTGTCATTGATGTAGAAATTGCCAGCACTGTTCCTCAGCATGTCTGTGGCCTCCCGGACAATGTTCCTAGAAGGCAGGGCAATGGTGAGAGGACGGCTGGCCCGCAGCCCCGAGCCCCAGGCCCAAACTCCAACACCCACCCCAGCCCTGGCTGGCTGTCCAGGCGAGCACTGAGCCCAACCTGGGACAGTGACATGGGCCAGCTGCTAGCTGCAGGCCCTTGAGCAGGTTATTTAGGGTCTCTGAGCCTTGGCTTCCTCCTTTGGAAGCGGGGTTAGTACGCCTCCCTCGCAGGGCAGCTGTGAGGATGTGGGTCAGGCTGTACTCACTCGAGGGAGTCGCCCAGCCTCGTCCAGTTCTCCTGCCCCTTGGGAGCTAGGGAACCCCCAGACCTCCATCCTGTCCCTCAGGTTCCAATCCCACCTCCACGCTCTCTTAAAGGCAGACACGGGACGACAACTGGTGCCACGGAGGAAGGTAAAAGCCAAGCCTTGCGTTTAGCACCGTGGCGCCCGGGTTCGAATCCTGCCTCTGCAGGATGAGCAGCACGCCCCTGGCGCCCGAGCCTGTTTTCCACTCTGCAGCACGAGGCAATGACCTTGCTCAGTGCGGTCCCGTCAGATCTGGGGGAGCTGGTCAGAAGCACTCATTCCCATGCCCAGACCCCACCCCTAGAGCTCCAGATTCAATAGTGGGGCCCCAGAATCTGCATTTTAACGAAGAGCCTGGCTGCCTCTGTGTACCTGTACTTAGAAGGGACCTGCCTGCCAGTCAGGGCTGAGGTAAGGGGAATGGAGAGAAAGCAAAGAGAGGCATTATTACTAGGACCCATGTCCAGTAGGGCAGTCTCAGGGGTGGGGACAGGACGCCAGGATAGAGCAGAGGAGCTTCGGCCACTCACTTATCCTGGGCAAACACTGCCCCCGTGAGGCCGTAGCTGGTGGTGCTGTCGACCAGCCGCAGCGTCTCCTTGTACTTGTCATCTGGGTAGACGTACACAGTCAGCACAGGCCCGAAGATCTCCTGGCAGAGACGCCCCAGGGTCAGCCTCCTGCCTGTCCAGCGCCCCGAGGCCTCCCAGGCTGCCCGATCTGGCCTCTGCCTCTATTCTCAGTCCCCAGCCCCCAGGCCTCAGTCCACACCGCGGCCCCGGTAAGAAGGGCCAGGCTTGGCCTCCTGCTGGGTTCCCTCCTCCAGGGAGGGGCAGCACTGTGCCCAGCTCCTGCCCTGCCCACCCCACTCCAACCTGGCGAAAGACCCAAGGGAATGTTCTGGCCCCCAGCCAGCTAAACGCACACCTGGAAAGCCACGGGCCCAGGCCCTGGGAAATGGGAAAGGTCTGGCAACAGCTGGCCTAGGAATTGCCTGACAGTCTCACTGTCCCCTCTGCCACCAAGGGGCTGGAGGGAGACCTCCACTCCTGCAGCCCCCACCCCTGCACTGTCATCTGGGCAAGTGCCTTCACCTCTCGGAGCCTCAGTTTCTCACCTGTAAAATGGGGCTAATACCCACCTCACCTCAGTCAAGTGCCAGCTGTGGCCGGCCCCCCGCTGAGAGTCTGTGCATGTCAGTGGAAGGGCCAGGACACCAGTCAGGGTCGGCAGTACCAGGGCAGGGCACTGGATTTGGGGTCAGGAGGCCTGAGCTCAAGACCTGACTCTGCTCTGACTGGGTGTGGGACATCCCCCCTTTAGGGCCTCACTTTCCTCATCTGTGATATGGGATAATGCCTTGAAAAGGAAACCACGTGCAAGGGCCCTGTACGCGTGCTGAGCTGGGTGACAGGCTGTCCTCCCCAATGCGCCCGGCCACCCGCCCGGTCACCTCCTTCATGATGGGCTCCTGAGGGTCCTTGCTCTCGATGATGCAGGGTTCCACAAAGTAGCCCACAGAGTCATCACACGTGCCCCCTGCCAGGACGGTGAGGCTGGGTGAGGAGCGGGCATGCTCCAGCCACTTCTTGATGCGGGCAAAGGACTAGGTTGGGTGAGGAGGGGGGGTGTCAAGGGCTAGCTGGGGGGCCATTCCCAGCAGCAGCCCTCCAATACACTCACCCCAAAACACCTGTCCCCGAATGGCCCAAATTCTGAAATGGGGGGCCCTGATGACAAAAGCCAGGGTCTAGATTGGCCATGGCAGAGTAAGCACAGACATGCATGCATGTGTGTGTGTGTGTGTGTGCGTGTGTGTGCGTGCACGCACGTGCGCACGCATATATTAGAATCATAGGTATACTCACATATAAACATAACACACACACGTTACAAATGTACACATGGGCATACGCATGTGTCTTTACATTTAAGCACATAGGTACATTTATGCCTGTGTCACATGCATGGGATTATGCATGTAGCTCTACACATGTGCCTATCTACACATACAAACATGAACACGAATACGTGTGCATGCACACATGTGGGTGGATTTGGACTTGTTCATGTATGGAGATGTGTGTGTATGGATGTGTATGCATTTGTGTGGAAAGGCTGACATGCATACCCACACACAGGGGTCTATATAAACGTATTCATCACATGTATGTACGTGTGCACGTGTGTTTAGGTTTCTGCACGCAGGTGTGCATATGGACATACACACTTAAACGGGGCTTGTTGAGCCTGGTTGCAGGGTGTGTGGGAGGTGAGTTTTCTGGTTGGATGACTCTGCCCTTCCTAGAAGCAGTGGAGCTGGGTAGATCCCAGGTCAGGGCCCCCTGATATCTCTTTCTCCCTCTTCCACCCAGTCCAGGTCTCAGCGCCCCAGGAACAACAGCTTCCAGCCTGTACCTTGGCATCAATCACTGCAGAGAAGAAGGTCCCAAAATCCTCTGCAGGCTGGAGGCAGGGAAGACGCCAGAAGAGACAAGAGTTGCCACAGGCTCCAAAAGGAACCCCCTCCTCACCCACCCAGCCCCACTGGCACAGGAGCCTCCAATCCCATCAGCCACCCGCTGGGCCCTTGGCAGGGATGAAGGCGCCACTCACGTCGCCCACTTTGATCCTGCTGTGCTCCTCCAGCAGCCGCCCTTTGATCTGCGGCCACAGCGAATGAGGCACATAGAGGCGGGAACAGGCTGAGCACTTCTGGCCGCCGTACTCGAAGGCGGAGCGCAGGGTTCCACTCACCACGCTGTCCACGTCGGCCGAGCAGTGGACAAAGTGGAAGTTCTTCCCACCACATTCTATAGGGGCAGGGGTGGGGGAATGAAGTGGGGCGTGGGTGCCCCCAGCCAGCCCAGGAGCCCAGTGCACTGCCTGCACCTGTCCCTGGGGCCCTGTGATCAGCCCCCAGTACTGGGCGGATGAGGGTGGGAGAGGCACAGTTACAGCTGGACAGCATCCCAGAAACCGATGAGCCAGGCCTAGTCTCCCACTCTACAGATGAGAAAACTGAGGCTCAAGCAAGGGTGAAGGGCATCAGAGGTCATCAGGACCAATTCCCCATTATACAGATGAGAAAACTGAGACCAAGGGAAGGGGTGCTGCCCAGCATAATGGCAGAAGACCAGAATCCTAGGCTCCCACTCCATTCCCAGAAGTGGGCACCGCTTTCTCTGAGCCTTCTCCTGACCCGCCACCCAACGAGAGGAGAGCGTGTCCACTCATGTCAATTGCCAGGGCTGGTTCCGGTTCCCTACCCCCCAGTTTTCTGAGCGTGAGGGGACCTTAGCAGATCACCTGCCCCCACCCTGGGCCCTGGTTTCCCCAGTCAGTTAAACATCAGCTAATAGCAGCTCTGGTTACCAAGCACTAACTACCCACCAGACCCTGCTCCAAGCACTTTGTATTTTGTTTCCCTGACGCCTCATGACAACCTCCCATTATTATTCCCATTTTAAAGACAAGAAAACTGAGGCACAGAGCGACGAAGCCATGTGATCAAAGTTGGGAAGTGGTAGAGTAAGCAGTGGTCTGACTGCCTCGGGGAGGCGGTGGGATGGAGACGGAGAGTAGAAAACTCTGGACAGTTCACCGAAGGGGCTCACTGTCCCCCATTTTGTAAGACTGGGGCGTGCTGGGGGGCTGGAAGCTGGAGACGCTACAGCTGGCCCTAAGGGCTCACCCTCCCTGACACCCCCATCCAAGTTCTCACCAGCTCAGGAGTGGGGTCTAGTCTCCCCTGGGGGCCACACTTTACCCCCAGGAGCAGTAATGCTGAGCCACCAGCTCCAGCTCTGCCACTACTGGGCTGTGTGGCCCTGGACAGCCCTCTTTCTCTGGAGGTCTCGGCACTTTCTCAAAGTGGGTTCCACAAAAAACTTGGTCAGTAGGGGCCTCTATAAAAATGGGGTTCTGTGGCCCAAAGAGTTTGGCAAACACATATCAGCCCTTACTCTTGAAGATATGCAATGCATAGTAAAAGTATTAAAGGCTCTGAGAAGTCCCGCAGGCAAGGAACCCGTTTTGCTTTAACAGGGCACGTGCCAAATTTCCTTGACCATGGAACTGTTTCTTTGTGGGAAAATTATTATTTCAACAAGATCTAGCCCTGCCAACCTCTTGGCTCCATCTCCCACCACCCCTCCTCCGTACCCCAGCTACATTGCCCTTGTTTCTTCAAATACAAGTTCATTCCCACCTCATGGCCTTTCTGCATTTGCAGTTTCCCTGTCTAGGTCTGCACTGGGCAACGCAATAGCCACCAGCCACATGTGGCTATTTAAAGTCAAATGAATTCAAAGGAAACAAAACACAAAAATTCACTTCCTCAGTCCCACCAGCCACATTTCAAGTGCTCGATAGCCACTGGTGGCTGGTGGCTACCGTGAAGGCCAGCGCAGACAGAACACTGCCATCGCCACAGAAAGTTCTGTGCACAGTGCTGGTGCCCAGGGCTGTCCATCCCCCCAGATCTCTGTGAGGCTGGTTTCTTTTCTTTGTTTAAATCTCTGCTTAAATATTTCCTCCTTGAAGAGAGTCCCCACCCCCTGACCACCCTAGGTCACCTCCCTCTACCCCAGTCCTTGGGGGGTCTTTGCTTGCCTCCTATTTTCCCTCCTTTAGTTCTTCGCAGCCCTTGTCACTACCTGACATCATCTATCTGTTTACTGTCTGCCTCCTGCTACTGGAACAGAAGTTCATGAGAGCTGGGTCTGTATGTCTTGTCATCACTGCAACCCCAGGGTCCAGAAAGTGCCTATGTAGATATTTAATAATTTATTTGCTGAATGATGGATGGATGAATGAATGAATGAATGAATGAATGACAAAATACACATTCTGAGGCACAGGTGCTCTGCACAACCCCTGGGACCTGCCAGGGCAAAGGCTCCACCTCGAAGGCTCCTGCAGGGCCGCCCCACCTACGGCTGCATCGCCTCCTCTTTCATGATGGCAGGAGACGGAGCGATACCTGGGGCCACAAGGAGAGGGACCCTTACCTCCGGCCAGGCGCGGGAAGGTACGGAAGCGATCCAGGTTCTGGGCCACCTGCTTCCACAGGTGTTTGAAGGTACTGAAACCAGAGAACAGGGTGGGGATTAGGGAGCCGGGCTCAGGTACCTCAGAGGTGAGGGTCCTGGGCGGTTGGGCGCAGGCCCCACCGAAGGAAGGGGTTGAAAAGCCAAAGGCGGCGTGCCAGGGTCAGCAGGCCAGCAGGAGGCAGCAGGGTTAAAGGTGGGGTGGTGGGGGGCCCAGCAGGTAGTGTCGGCTGGAAATGGGCTGCATTGCAGGCCTATGGGGAAGGAGAAAGGGGGATCTTGGCGGCAAAATGGCAAGGGCAGGCCAGGGGGTGCTGGGTTAGTGTCCTAACTCAGATACCCACGGCTGTGTGAACTTTTGCTGATTGCTTAAATAAGCAATAAGCCTCAAATTCTGTGTTTCATTTGGGAACTGGAAAAAATAATCCTACCGGGCAGGGCTGTTCCGTGATTCACTCGAATGAGAGTCAGTGCTTAGGACAGTGCCAGGCACACCGTGGGTGCCTGATGGGGGCCAGACGCTGCCATGGTCTGCAAGGGGCACCCTTAAGCCCAGTGCCCGGGTTCCAGAGGGCAAACCGAGGAGGATCCTGGGAGAGGGAGCTCAGGCCTCTGCCTCCTCCCCGGGTTCTGAGTGTGACCAACCTCGGCACCACAAAACAATAAAAATGCTAATCACCAGGGAGCCAGCCTCACAGTAGCTAATACTAATTTATGACTTTCCCACCTTTAAGCCTGCTGCTCATCAGAGCATGGCAAATGGGGGCCAGGCCCGCTCCGCCTGCTAATAGGCAGGGACCTGTGGGACCCATGGCTGGCAGAGCGGGCCTTTTGGAAAACAGCCCTACTCAGCAATTCTAACGCTGCCATGCCACCCTGCAAACCTTGGTGGGAAGTAGAGGAGCCTGAGGCCGGCAGAGAGGTGAGAAGCCACCGCAGGAACGCCTGGGAGGACCTCCAATATAGGCCCCCCCCATATCTCCACCCAGATAACCGTGGGGTACCCCAAACTCGAAGCGACCAGCTTGTGATTCATCTTTACCCAAACCTTCCGGGTGCTCAGCCTGCAGGGTGCCCACCTTGAGGAACGATGCCCTTCCTGCCCCGAGTCGGGGTGTTTCCGCTGACCCCTCAACCCTGACCCCACAGACAGGTCGTTGAATCTCCCTGCCATTTTCTCACTTGAATTGGCCCACTTCTGTCCCTTCCCACCGTCTCTTCCGCCTCATCCCTTCCCGGATGTGGACAGACTCCTAAGGGTCTCCTGCGTCTGGCCACTAGCAACTTGTGCGTCCAGCAGCCAGGGCCATCAGCTAGGACACAGGCTGCACACACAGGGGCCGGAGGGGCAGGAAGAGAGTACTGTATTTCCCCATGTATAAGACGCACCCTTTTCCGAAAAATTTGGGGTCTAAAAACTGGGTGTGTCTTATACAGTGGTTGTATGAGCGTAAAAACAAGTGCGAAAAAAGCGGGAAATGCAAATAAAAAAAATCTACAACCACTGTATAAGACGCATCCAGTTTTTAGACCCCAAATTTTCAAAAAAGGGTGTGTCTTATACATGAGGAAATACGGTAAATGCGGAGACCTGCCCGGTGGGGAACCCGCCCACCTCCAGCCAGGGGTGCCATGTGGAAATGCAGGCCTAAGGGGGACCAGAGCATCCAGGTTCTCAAGAGAAGCCAACATCTGGATTTTTACATGCAACTGCCCCAACTGTACAAGGTTGGTTCATCTCTATCCGGAGTCAAAGAAAACAGAGCCAGTTGCCGGGCCCCACTGAAGAGCTACCATTTGTCATCTCTGCTTGAACCCTGATTAGGCCACTCCCCGCATTAAACCTTCTGTGGCTTTTATCATCTTCAGGATAAAAACCCAGACAGCTCTCAAGCTCACAGCACTTTACAGTCACTGGACTAAATCCCCCGAGAGGCGGGCCCTTGTCCACTCCAGGTATTCACTGCTGAGCCTTAGCAGGAACAGAGTCCAGCATGCACTCAGGCTAAATACCAGCTGAGTGAGTGACTGAACCATGTGCCGTCCCCACCCTTACTCTCGGCCCCTGAACTCCACACTCCACCCACAAGGGACCACTGCCACCTCCCAGAGCACAGGAGCTTCAACGTTAGGCTTCCATAGGTGCTGTTCCCTCTCCTACAACACTCTCTTCCAGCCCTTTGCCTGATCAATTCCTCAGCTTAGATGCCACTTCCTCCAAGAAGCCTTCCTGACTCTCCTCCTCCGATTTACTCCAAGCTCCCTTGCGCCCTCTCCAGTGACAGAGGCAGCATCAAAACCAACATCGCCGAACATCTGTAGGCTGCTTCCAGCCTGTAAAGCTCCTCCCTGTTCGTTAATTGGCTCGACTCATGATTACTCTACGAGGTGGGGGCCATCATGTCCAATGCACAGGTGAAGAGACGGAGGCTCAGAGAGGTGCCGTGGCTTGCACACAGCCCTATGGTAAATAAGTGGGTACAGTAGTGTCAGACCTCTGGGTTCACAGCCCTAGCTCCTGGACAGAGGTGACAAGGCCGTTGCCTTGTGAATGTCCCTATACTACCCGACCCTACCCCACCCCAGGGACTTACGGCACGCTGCCCGTGAAGTTGATGCCGCAGAGGTGCTCTGAGCTGGTGACAGTGTCCCCAAAGGTGGGCCCGTCCGCTGGCACAAACTGGATGATGTTGGGGGGCAGGCCAGCCTTCCGGAGGATACGGTAGACAGCATAGCTGGCCAGCATGGCGGTGTCACTGGGCTTCCACAAGACCACGTTGCCCTATCCAGTGG